TTGGCGAAGCATGAGCAGGGTTTCCAGAGAATGGGGTGCTGCTACCTGGAGTATGAGCACCGGGTGACGGAGTATTGCTAGGTGACATAGATCCGGGTGGGGGACTGCCTGGCATCGAAGTTGGAAATCCAGGATTTGGGGTGCTACTCGGCGAAGAATTAGCAGGGTTTCCAGAGAATGGGGTGTCAGCCGGCATAGAAGTTTCGGAGCCGGGAGTGTTAGTCGGAGTAGTTTGCTCCTCCGTGCCACGAAGACCTCCACCAGCTCCCAAATTACGCTGAATGTGATAGTTTTCAAGTTGATTGGATTTCAACTCGCTGGTGTCTTCGGTCGTCCAGCCCCAAGCGGCATCAGTGATTCTAGCCGTCGAAGCGGCGATGGCTGTCGCTAAAGCAACGTGTGCGATGATACGGGAGACGTGCATACTTGTTTAAGTGCGGAAAGTTGTATTGGAAGTTGGGTCCAATTGGCAAAGTCTTAGGCTGAACTTGGCAAATTGCTGAATGAGCTACATTTCAGGGCTCAATGGTGCCGAATGCACGTACATCGAGGAATTGCTCGATGAACAAGTCGGTGCTCCAGCTCACCGGCTTTGTTCAGATTGTCGCGTTGACGTAAAAGGAATGTCCAATGTGAAACATGCTTCTTCTGTGCAAGATTTATTGTACATGATCTTGAATTTTAGTTGCCCTGTGCACTTTGCACAGCGATAGTTGAATCGAACATGCACTTTTATATTGTTCAATCATATATGAGGATTGCTAAACGAACAACGGTTTAGTGTTTGGGAGAGCGCATGCAGGTGTTATCAGTTGCCTGAAGCGACAACGCATAAGCCTGCACTCCCTGTACAGATCGTGTTTGTAACAGTCTTTTCCGATCAACAAGATCCCCTGATTCAACACATCCAAAGCCCTCTCGTCTGTCGCAAAAAAGTTGTCAGGTGGTTAATCCGAGTATCAAGGATGATTAAATCCAAACAAATATCGACAATGAATCGGTCGACAAAAACACACGCACGTTACGGCTTGACGAGGCCGTCGCATAGTGCAAAAAAAGCACCATGTGCGAGAATCGCTAAACAAGGGTAATACTAAAATTAAAGATTAAGGAGTTCCTGGAATATTCTGCTAACACATACGTGACGTAAAAGCCGTGAACTAGCTGAGACGTTTGTGTGAAGATGATCCGCGATTATATTGACCGCTCGCTTACATTTACGAGCTTTTGACATTGTTTTCGCGGAAACACATTTGCGATCCAATCCTCACTCAAGTCAAATTTCACCTCTAAAGAATTAAGCTAGCAAAGCAGGAATGCATCGCAATCAGAATAGTATACAAAATACAAATATTATCTCTCGCATAAGATAAAGTAGCGATTTCAAATCTATAGTTGCGTCGTTTGTCACTTCGTGAAATAGCAAGGCATTGTACGTGGAGGACTCTCCATCGTCCTATCGAATTTGAGCTCTTGAGATGTGTCAAATCTGCAGGCTAACAATACAATATATGGCTGACTAGGACTAAAAAGCAGGTGTTGCATGTCTCGCCATTCCAAAGCAAAGTCATGTTGAGCCTATCGCTATTCTTTTACGCTTGCTGAAATGCCTTTGTCGTCTTCACATCACTAATTGAATCCCAGCAGCGAAATTTTAAAAGATCAATGGCGCAACTCAACAGATGGCTGTTTTGTCTTGAAGTGTCGTTGTCTTGAAGAGCCAAGAACAATGCAGAAGTGCGTCTACTGGTGTATTGAACGTGCATTGTGTGTTCGCATGGGTTCCTACCGCAACTAATCGTTTCAGCATACATAATTTCTGTGCTGCATCTTGAGTTTGTTAGATTGTCAAAATAGAAACTTTTAGAGGTAATACTTTACTTACTACGTGATAAAATATACTTCGACCTTATCATAAATCATATTGAATGATCGGCTCGCAAAATTTACCCGACGGGTGAAGAGCAACCGGATTGATATGAGAAGGCAGCTTTTGGATATACAACAGGAGACTACAAGGAAGCCGCTGAGGAAGTGTTGAACCGCAGAGTCGACAATGATGCTTTGAAAAACGATTAGAAAAATTATGATGAAGATGGTTTCAGAGGCAGAGCAAGATCGGTAGCTGCATTTTCCGGCTTACGGAGAAACAAAAATGACTTGCACTTAACACCTAAATGCAGCGCTTTGACATGCACGTCGTACAATCACTTCGTACTTCATCCATCTACTGATCCAGCAGTGTAAAATACTACTACTACTACTACTATCACTCTTACTACTACTACTACTACTACTACTACTACTACTACTACTACTACTACTACTACTACTACTGCTACTACTACTGCTACTACTACTAATGGTATTATTATTAGTACTAATATCACTACTACTACTATCACCAAAACTACTACTATTACCAATACTACTACTACTACTACTACTACTAATGATAATACTAAATGCCACTCGACTTGTGTGTGTCGCGAAGTAAGCTCTGGACTTGTAATTTACGACGCTAAGCGAAGGCAGCAGTTTAATTGATTTGTTGAGTGAGGGAGATATTAATCGATTGGCAGTGATGTTGTCCCAGCCATGATTAATAATTGCGACGGACCATTGCAAATTGATGCTCGAGGTTCTCAAGGACTTTTCTACCCCAAGTCACGTCCCCCACTACGCAATCACCTTGTCGCATATGATACAGCGTCTTAAATAGCCGAATTATTTATAATACATAATTGCTGTAAGACGTAGGGACGAATCAATGATGGATTGCAGTCACTACTCTTAATTGCGCAAATTTTACTCGCTTATTGTTTTTCCACTTCGAAGACAGAACCATTCAAAAGAATCTACATCACCTGAATTGAGCCCAAGTAAGAACACCAAGTTCAGAATGGGGCCTTCCGTCGGATCCTGTTCCATTCTGTGTAGTTATAAAATGAAGATGTCCCTAATGTTGGAGGGACTGTGGGGAGCGGCTGGTGGTGAAGACGGAGTGTCCAATGTGAAGGAGCAGCCTGCACACGCAACGATTGTTCTTCATCTCAGCAACTTGCCGCCGGGGAAAGTGTTGACGGCATGTAGCGCAAAGGAGACGTGGGACTTGTTCAAGACGCTCCAAAACACGCAAGACGCGGTAAATCGTTTGTGGCTTAATAAAATGCTCTCATCGCTCGAATTCACGACACATCCGTGAATACGCACGTATCACAGTAAGAGAAGCTTGTGATGATGATAAGTAACGCAGACTGTGAGCTGATTGAAAAATACGATGTTATGGAGCCTACTGGTAGACTAAGAGAGCCTGATGTAATCGTTGTGCATGTCGGCACTGGTATCTTGCCGACTTGGCTAGCAAGCTGATTGCAGCGAATGTACGGATGAACTTGACGCAAATTTAAGACGCAACAGCTCTACTTGTGGGCAAGAAACCATTTCTAGGATGGAAAGAAGAGGAGGGCGAGGTGTACTAGCGGCACGTCGTGTGCCCTGCTCGAACCTTGCGGGTACCATGGACGTTTCCCCCAATCTCTCGGTTACCGAAGAAAGTGGTATCAGTACCAATTATCGCGACGAGGCGCGGAAGCAGCAGTTAGCGGCTGCCCACAGGGCGGCTCTCCTGCGCTCGCATCCACGGACGGTCCTAGACCTCCGTGTTAGATACGGCTTCCGCTCGGCGGATCCCACTACAGAAGCAAAAGACGCGATCACTCAATTGTTGGGCGTCTACATGGTCAACCCCATCCCTTCGATCATGAGCGCCCACGACGTCTGGGCAGTCTTACCGAAGTGACACCTCAAGCTCTCACGAGTTCTCGGAGTCTGGGCAACCCGCCACTTCACCAGATACTGGGTTTGACCCTGTCGACGACGTCAAACCACAAGACGTTTCACATGTTAGTGGACACCACCGTTCTCGTCGAAGTGTCGACGGCGGACGGTGACGATTTGGTCAATCGCTGTCCAGTTGCTCGCGATGCTCTTCGAGCTTTGGAGGACAAAGTCGTCGTCATCGGCACCCTGCCGAGCATCTTTTCGAGGTCGCATACCGCTGAGCGGAAAGCCTCGGAAGATTGGAGCATTTTGTGCGCCGACTGCCTCACGTTGAAGATTTTCGTGCTCTGTCGGGGAGTTCTGGTCGTCCAACAGACGAATACGTCACTTCGTGCGACGGTGGAGCGCCTTGTGCCATTACAAACCGGAAATTGTTGCACTCCGTGCTCAGAACGACTTGCTAATCACGACATTTAGGTTGCGATATGACGGAATGATCGCAAAAGGGAAACAGCGCCTTGCATCTGGAACTTTTGGTTTGGTTGTATTTGCCATTGGAATAGAATGTCGTTAAGAAGAGGTCTTTGGTTTGGCGTCTTCTGTAACGGGTTTACACGTACCCTGGTTTAAAGGGTTGGGTCACACAAGATGGTGTGACCGTACAAGAATTGCCGTTCATACAAGGCAGTGTAGTCACACAATGGTGTGGCTACACCTTAACCAGAAGTCAGTACGTGGCTGGACTGTCAGAAGTTATGCGTTTTAATTGGGCCTACAAGTTAATTAGGAAACCTATAGATTTGATTATAGGCGGCTTTGTCGCATATCAAACCAATAGATGCAGTTTATATTCTAAACGAAAGCGTTCATTTGCCTTGAGTTAAGGTTGTGGTTACTTATGGAGTAAGTGGATTGCGATCCGCTACACTCGTACTGGTTCTAAGTATAGAACAAGGGTCACCAACCTTAGCTTAGCTCTCTCTAAGCTAAAGAGCTACTTCAACCCCGCTGCACTTGGTAGCACTTGTAGTCAATATCCACCCGAGTCGATACGACTGATTCTCTGTGAGGATAGAGCAGCTCTCCTATTTTCCCCAGGGCATGCGGGACGGTCTTAAAAAGCTGATGTTTCTGCTTGGCCCTGAGTTCGTGCAACACATCGCTTCGCAAGGACCTGAAGCTATCAGCGCGCTCCTAGAGGCGATTTCGAGCTATAAAAATGCTCCACTAGAGCACCTACAACAGAAGATGTCAACGTCGACTGCGTCCATGATGTAACGGGGTTACACATAACCTTGTATGAGAGGACCTCCAAGAGTACCCGGAACCTTCACCAAGGCAAAAAAACTCCTTTGTTCAAAATTGAAATTGTATTTAGTTGTTTGTTTTGCGGCAGAGCCGTCTAATTTCTAAAATCTTAGGTTTCCTAATAAAATAGTAGAATCTAATTAATATGCATAACTACTGGCAGTCCTGCCACGTAGTGGCTTCAACTTACGGTGTAGCCACACCGTTGTAAGATGGCACTAACTTGTAATACACACCATTGTAAGATGGCACTAACTTGTAATACACACCTTTGTACGGTCACACCGTCATGTGTGATACAATCTTTCATACTAGGGTAGGTTTAGACCCATTACACTCTGAGTACGTGTAGCTCCGTTACACCCCCCATCAAAATTGTGAATATCCACAGTTCACATTTAACTGCATCCAAATACGAGACTCGCGTGTTGAGACACCGTCACGTCCCAAAGAACATCTTTGAACATTCTCCGCTCCACGAGCCCTGTGTCGATGACGCGAGAAACACCTAGCCAAGCTGAATACGACGGCAAAGCCCTACTTCTTCTTCTGCACGAGGAGCATCCCCGGACAGTAAGTCCGCGGCTTCACGGAAAGCACATCTCAAGCCCTCGGCAACCGAGCGCTACACACACCGCGCTCGCCACGGGCGATGAATTTCCTTGTCGAGGATTCGAAGGAAGTCGACTACGAGTCGAATACTCCTTTTCCAGGATGGGACGAAGAGGAGGACAAGGTGCGCCAACATCGTAACGTGAGCCCTGCTCAAACCTTGCGGACGCCGTGTCAGTTCCCCTGACCTCTCCACTCCCAGGTGGAGTAAATTACCCCCAATCGCCTCGACGAGGCAGTTGGAGGCTGCCCACAGGGCGGCTCTCATGCGCTCGCATCCACGGACGGTCCTATATCTTCATGTAAA